TGTATATACATATATATATATATATATATATATATATAAATATATATATATATATTTATATATATAAATAGTATATATGTATATGTATGTATATATATGTGTGAGTGTGTGTATGTATATATATATGTGTGTCTGTGTCTGTGTCTGTGCTTTTATATATATTTATATATGTTGGCGAAATATAATATTTACACGTACGAGGAAAACATACGCCTCAATACACTCCGAACTTTGCAAATCATTGTACAATCTCACTTACGCACTTTTTGGCACAGTGCACGATTGCAAATACGCTGCTCTGTATTTTCGATATGTTTGCAACTGAGTGCGTTACGTTTCGTTAGGCTTCCAGATCAACTATGGAGAACAAATTGGACCTGTTTACTATCCCAGCTTTGTTCGCATAGATTGCATGTGTCTACGTTACGTTGAAGAATGACAAATAGTTATTGAGTCTTGGTAAAGGCACAAGTGAATATTTCAATTCCCTGTGGGATGCACACAATTATGTAGAATATTAGCCTTTCAAATATTACTGCGCGTTGTTATCCCACTACCCTTATGTGCCGAAAAAAATATTCGGTCGCAATTACACATATGTACTAAAAGCAAATTTTCATTTTTACGACGTGTTCTTAAAGAAACAGTCTAGCAAGAGCAAGCCTGGATCAAATACCGCTTCCAAGCGACTTGCCGATAGTCACGCATCTAGTCATGATCAAAAAAAAATGAAGCTGGTATGATTGGCATGTACGTATGTGATCATGTGATTTAAGTATTGTCATTCGTTAAAGCGCTACACATTCAGAAGCCCCAGACGTATTCAATATGCTTTGTTAGCCTGTCAGGTGCTATCGCAATCTGACCTAAACTTTGCTCATCACATAACAGTCGCAGGAAGTGAGTGGTGCTAGATCAGGGGGTGCCACTTTTGCCAAAAGTAAGACGCACATTTTCCGCTTTGTTCCTTAATTCCGTAGCGTCGAACATTTAACGCATTATGTGCCTCCGTTCGCTTCTCGGTCAATCAGACGTGACATGCTTATTCTCGTTAACTGAACACTACACAATGTCGCTTCACACCGCGCTACCTAATTTAGGACCACTATTGAGTACAACACCGCTCGCCGAGAAAGAGGACAGTGCGAAGAATTCACATGGCAATTTAAAACGCAAAAAAAGCAAGCTATCGCATAGCCCGCCGGATATGACGCAAGCGGGGAGTAAACAGCCCACGTCCCACCTACAAGTCGCGGAAGGGAAAAGTCTCAATGTTTCTAGTAACCGGTCCTCCGGCAATAGCAGGCCGGTATTGACCCCGAGTTCCGGCGCTACACATGAAGCCGAGAAACATGGTGAGTAGCTATTCATCATTCAGAGGTACTCAGTCAATCGCTTGCAAACCGTTTTCTTTAATAGGTTTTTGGTTGAGAACTTCCGTTCTAAAAGCAAGTACACTTAACACCTCAGATGGCGAGGGCGATAAAAATGGTGCCAACTCCGTACCGGCCAACATGCCAACATTCGGGAAGGTGGATATGCCTACCCTAGGACCACGAGGTACCGGTATAGTAAGCCTGACTAATTCAGTTATCTTTTCCAGCAAATATTCTGAAGAGTGTCTGGATCAAACAAAATTCTGACGATCTAATTAAATCACCCTGCCTTGACCTACCGCTTAGGTTCTGTGAAAATAAAACCATCTACGCCAGAGCCAGAGGATATTGCAGACGAGATTGATGCGGCGATCGACTCGGATGTAAGTGTCTACCATATTAAGGGACAGCACTTAAATCTTACGAGTTGAGGCACGTTGTTGTGTTCAACTGTGAATGTGCACTCCTTAGTTCGCACTGATTGTGTAACCGGCTAACATTCTAGTACATATCACAACCTACTATGTAGGACTCTGCCGAGGAATCCGAGGAGAACATGCGTGCGCCGAATGACGATGACTTCGACTCAGAGGTGTGTCAGCGATGTTAATTTTCTCGCAGATTCTCGTGTACCAACGTGTTCTCTGTCACTGATTGTCGTGCCCTGTCTGTCCCTCGCTAACAAGGAAACGATCCTGACTCAAATCCCTACGCTTATGAAAATTTGCAGGCTTCGCCAACGCTTATCATGGATACTGGTCACAGCGACTCAGAATAGTGTATATGAAAGGCAGTCTAACAAGGACTATCCAATATTGGGGGATCACTTCGGCAAAGATAGACACTCAGGTCGGCACATATCCATGAATTCAGCACATGACGCAGGTCCATAGCTTGTTGTAATGAACGCATACAGTGATGAGCATTAAGGTCTTGAGGCAAACATAACTTTAGGATGACATTCCAAGATTAGGCGGTATTGTGGGAATACAAATCCCATATTTCTCAGTCGTCACCGCAACACACCTCAGCGCTGCAAACCTCCAGTTGCGCGTCACAAGTATCATCGAAACAGCACCTTTGTCGTTTGAGCAAAACCATGCCATCCTCCTTGCAAGTGGTCTCGTCTATAACTGCTTCGCACCTCAGAAGAGAATCGCCGTCCATAGACTCTGAAACAAAGGACATTGCCGCAGTAGCAGGTCGTACCCACACCCCGCAACATAATTCTGCACTACACTCGTCAAATTCTTCACAGCCTTCAGCCACGCAACAACTTTTGCGCGTCTCAAAATCTGACCGATTGTCACAGTCGCTACTTATATATTCTTCTCCGCATGTTGTGGAAGACGTGTTGCTTTCCAGTTCCTCAAATTCGTCCTCGCCGTCAGAAGTGTCAGTGACGATATCAATGCTATGGTCGATACAGGCAAACTCGGCGTCCGACCACACCTGGTCCAGGTCTTTGCAACGGCACTCACTATTCCTTAGTATCGATCCTGAAGGGCAATCGTCAACACAATAGTCTTTCAGTTCATTCCAGATCGGGTAATCTACCGCGCACTCACATTCTCCCGAGTCGTTTCGCACTTGATTTATCTTGCATCTAGATTGACGGGTCATCAAAGAGTGATACTGTATACGACTCTGATTTTGAACTATATTGACCTCTGGTACTTTTGCAGCGTATGATGCAGGGGCCCCACAGGCCAGCCGTGCTATTGAGATCATTATTAATAACTCTAAGGTGTTTCTAAAAGGTTGCATAGTGGATTAGTGAGTTGTGGGAGAATATAAATTTAAAATACCAAGTAACAGTATAACAGCAGGTTATTATATATGTTTTAAAGTCTGTAGTTGTAAATATCAAATATGAAAAGTTGCATAGAGGATTAGTGAGTTGTGGCCTTGTGGGAGAATATAAACTTTAAAGAAATATGTACCAAGTAACAGTATAACAGCAGGTTATTATATTTTTATAAAGTCTGTAGTTGTAAATATCAAATATGAAAAGTTGCGTATAATGTAACCCCCCCTCAGTGGCCAATGACCAGTCCCAAGTCCTCACTCCCGTTCAGACAGCCTCTCTCTCTGTCTATAAGCTCTCTCTCAATCTGTATATATTTGTACACTCTTGAGTCATATAGGATAATATATATGATCTCTCGCTCTCTTCTATATTCTACTATATGTACTATCTAGTAGTCGGGCATACTAAAAATATTATTAGAGAGAGAGAAGGGGGCGAGGGGGTCCAGGACTTCAGGGCCCAGGCCCCAGGGAGTTAGGGACCCCAAACTCAGAGTCCCAGACTCGCGAAAACTCCAGAGTCCAGAGTCCTCTACTCTACTCTTAGAGTAAAGAGAGAGAATCAATTTTTTTCAAAATCGTCCAAAAAGCGGACGGACACCATGGACTCACACTTCTCACAGCCGTTTTGATTTTTTTTAAATATATACCATCACATCTGCACGGGGTATGACTCATAGATAGTACTTTTTGCGCTCAACGAGTGGTTCGTTCAATTTCAATATCCACATGAAAACCATATACCGTATCTATCATCCATTGAAATGTAGATTAATATTGGAATTTAAGGACTCAGAGCAAATAAAACATCTAAAATTCACCTAAGCGGACATCCGTTGAGTTTATTTACCAATAAAAACCTAATAGTCTCCTGAGTTTGCCTGAGCTATAATCCACCAACAAGATACACTTCTTAGAATACCCTATATAATCAAATTATCCTTCTTTTAGAGCGCAAATCATAGCCTTCTTGTGTAATTTTCGGCAGGCTATGCGCAAATTGGAAAAGGTATCTGATAAGTCTATTGTTTCCTTCGGTCGTATCTTATCAGTCACTGTAAGGCCGCCTAAATCTAACACGTAATGTTCACACATTAGTATTTCAGGTAATCTTAGTTTATTGACTTTGTAATAGCCGGGCCCTCCACATTAGACTCTATGTTATAAACGTACTCTTAAGCAGTACGTTTACTAAAAACGTACACTTAATAGTACAAGGAACAAGTTTCCTAAATGGTTTTTAATGGTTTTATTAATTAATACCTTTTCCATTTTACAGATCAGATATTTGAACGAGGCCATTAAAAGGCCTCAGTAAAATACCAACCATAAGAGTTGGTCTAGTTCTATTAATAGAACTATATTTACTTTCCAACTTTATTTATATCTGAATACTTCGGTAGCGAGATGGCTCAACCGAATATAGGTATCTAGGGACTATTAACGTTATCTAGTTGATCCTCCGATCAGCCAACCAGATGTGCCAGTCTGATGAAGGTTAAGTCGGTAATTCTTAATAAGTGGCAAGTTATTGGATAAGACAATAACTAAGGACATCAAGAGATTTTATTTTATTTTCTAAAGATAGGATTTTACGAGTCTCAGATTCGCCCCAATGAAACATACCATAGTTTCTAATAGAGCGACAACGAAACACTAAATAAAATCCCTTCGGCGGAAACAGTACTAAGAGGATTTATATAGGCAATGTCTCAGCCTCACAATCCCTCAGAGTATTGCTGTTTTCACGAGGCATACCTAACATTACTAAAAGCCTCATTTCGTTTATTTACTTTGAAATTTGCACGATACTTGGAATTTACCTACGCGTTTATTTACTCTAAGGCGTTAATATCGCCTTGATAGACCGAATCTTACACATTATAAAGTTAGCAAAGGTATTAACTACATAGACTACTTGAACGTAAAGGTAGATAACTACCACAAAAAAATTATGGTCCAAGCTAGTCCTTAAGAGACCAGCTAGCAGTCATAAGTTAAGAGTATGCCCAAGAAAGACAATACTCCTTCTAAGAAGCGCAGAGCTGAAAAGAAGAGGATGGAGAGAGACGCCGCTGCTGCAGCCGCATTTAACGCGACTGCAGAAGAGGACAATCAATCCATAACCGAAATCATTGCTACTGGTATTCATAACCAAGACAATACAACAGATAACGGTGAAGACACTCCATTAAGAGAGAAGTTCCCTGGAGAAAGAGCACACGGGCCAACTATTGCGTTTGCTTCGAAGATTACGTTTACGAATCCAAGAAGCGACGCAAAAGGATCGGTTAAGACGATCCCTACTAATGTAG